TTCAGCAAAGACAATGCCTGGGGGGAAATCATTTTTCATGCAAAGATGGAGTCCCTCTCTACACGTTGCTGTATGGTTGCAACAGATGCTACGACAGAAATTCACAACAGAAAGAGTCATTAGCCGCTACTTGGCAACTGTATGGCCACCTTGGTCGCCTGATCTTACCCCATGCGACTTCTGGCTATGGGGTTACCTTAAGTCCAAGGTCTATCAAGGAGTGGTCCAGGACCTGGCTACGTTGAAGGATAACATATCACGGACTGTACAGGAGATTCCTGCAGACATGTTACTTTCTGCTGATGTGCATACTGTGCACAGAATGCAATATGTGGTCCACAACAACGGCACTCACATTGAACCTCATTTGAATGCAAAATAAAAGGTAATTTCCGTATTAATTTGCATTTGTTAACACTCTATTTTCTATTACACAGCGCCAAATATTCTCCTAGCGGTGACTTTTGGAACTAATTTTTTTTCGCGGAATCCTTCGTCCCCCGTCTTGTTTAATCTTCCTACAAAATGTGGCGTCATTCTCGAAAATAGATCGCGCTACAGAACACTGTGAGCACTGTCAGTTTAATTATGGCCACCCGGTATATAAAGAAGATTTAGAAGGCGTGTATCCATCGACACATTCAAATAAATGTTCCTTCGAACTCGAATCACTGTAATCTTTGTTTAATAAATCAATTCTTCGAACTGTCCTGTGAAATAGGGACGAATAAATTGTATTTTGATTCTTCATCAAGAGATGCTTTAAGGTCAATCATTATTGTAAATAGATCTGATTCTGCAAGGAAATGCTTATGCGTATTACTATTCAAAAAATTTTTGAAATTTTCTATTCTTTTATGAAATTCATGATTTATCCTTCCTCAAGCAAAGTCTTACATAGTACTTCTACAGTAAAACTACATTTTTTTACTAACCTGTGCAACGAAATAAGATAAAAAGTGACCTCTTTTGAAAGTATTTTAAATGATAACTGATGCATTTGATTAATATTGCATTCAAATATATTATTATTTAGAATGAAGGCCCGAAATTAAATTAGCAGATAGCAATGAACTTTCATGCTAGCATTAAATTTATGAATCAGTGCTTAATCTATTTTAAACATTTAAGGTTGCTTATGAGTAGCATCCATGTATGATTTTACAGTCTCATTATTTCATGAATTTATTTGCAAAAAAGTGAGAAGAAAGCTACCTGTGAGTTTTCCTTTTGACATCATTTTTCAGGCAAAACAAATCAACCAAAATACCATGTGAAAATAAATATCACTTATATAATTCAGTTAAAGAAATATAATGGAAATATGCCTAACAGTTATTTGCATTATGGCAAATCACGAGAACGGATTTTTCTCTACGCGCAGTCGGAGGGAAATAAACTGCGCATTCGTTGCCATGGTTATGATGTGCCTTGAAGTGCCTGTTCTATAGTGCGGTCTATATGCTGCATATATATGTAGTTCTCCAATTAGCAAGCGAATTGGCTTTCAAATACATTTGTGATTCGGTGAAGGGAGACGGATCACAGACTCATCTGTCATACGCCTGTAGAAACTTTGGGCTGACGTGGTGAAAGAGAAGCTGTCAGTTGGTATCAACAAAAAATTACGGCGACAGAAAAAGAGATGGGCTCCAAGGAAAAAATGCATTTTTCAAAATGCTTACTTTTAAATTAAAAAAAATATATATATATTGACATTACAGCGAGAAATCTACGTATTGAAGAACATAGGAATAAACTTAATTTACTCAGTAAAAAGGATAGTTGCATCTTCGCTGCTTATTAGCATATTATATGCGGCTGAAGTGTATGTTCGTCGCCGATAGTTTATTGGCTGCTTGCGCAAATGTACTAGCTAATGGAGTGAAGTTGTCACAGCATTCAAATAGTCCATATACGCTTATACCACATGCAGTTATCATTGTTTTAATTAAATTATCATGATATTTAAGAACATTTAAATATTTTTAATTCATACAATTGTTGCTTATTATGCATTTAACTATATTTACAAATGAATTACCTAGAAACTTGCAAACGTTGAGAAATTAAGGGAAACGAAACCAACAAAGGAGTTGTGCGTAGTACATCTCATTAGGTAGGTTTACCCAAAATCCTATGCTAAATATCCTTTCGCGTAAAGAGTTTAAAATTTTGCCCTATTTTATTCCGATTTTGTATTTTAAACTGAATTTTCAGCTGAACGCAAATTGAGCGTGTCAGGGGGAACGTTAACATTTGTTTGCATTAGCAATCATCTGTTTTGAAATGGTTTACAACTGAACGCAAATCCTTTTAATATAATTTATAATATTTAGAACAGCGGTCATTTCGTGTGACCGCCGGGCTTTCTAGTTAGCATATAGCAGTGATTAATGTTAAGAAATTCAAGTATAAGAAATATAATTCATGTCCAGTGACGAATTAACCTATTTTAGAGCTAAAGGCATTTTTTTTCTTCCAGGCCCCCTACACCCTGGGTGCTAAACTTTTACCAGAACAACTAGCAAAATAATAAATGATATAGGTGTATAATAATAATTAACAAAAATAGTTAGTTTTTCAAAAATCTTTAACACGATGTCCATTGTTAGTTTAATTATATAAATGTGCGTTTGATTGTGTATCAATCCAATCAATAGAATTTTAACTTTTTGTTTGTATGTGATATATTAAGAAAGCGAAATTAATTCTATTAAATGTCAAAACCATAGTTTTGAAAAAATGATTATGAAATTAATTCAAAAATCCTTTCTTCTAGCTTTCAATTCTGCAAGTTATCAGTTATTTCTTCTTAATTAATACTGTTACGAAATGTTAAGATGCGGTAAGGTAGCTTCCCCGCAAAGCAGTTTTAGGGTTGCCATAAAATAGCAAAGAAGGTAAAGTTTGGCGAGAAATCGCCCATTTGGCGACAAAATTGGCGATATATCATGGACGGATAGAGAACCTTCTGGAACGAATTCTTACCGGTTTAGCTCGAACACAAGCCAAAAGCTATATAAACCCTGCTGGCCCGCAGTCAGTTAGTGAGAGTCCGTCGAGTTGATAGACAGTCAGTGAATATTGAGTCTGTGTTTCGTCTAGTGAGCAATCGAGTTGACAGCCAAGTTTAATTTTTGTTAGTGCACGTGTTGTTCAATTATGATTTAGTCAGTACAAATACAGTGAGCATTTTCTATTTCTCCAGAAATGAATTTTAACAGAGTATAAAAGTAATAACACTCATTTGGGAATTCGGAAATGCTTTTTAAATGACACTTGTTGTGAAGTATGCTCCTTCAAAATTGCTCCACATTTTAAATAAATACATTTAATTACATTATATTACATAGTACAGTTACATATCAAATACGCGTTACACAGCTCTTCACACTACATTCTCAAAACACACGCCAACTCTCGCTAAAATCGAAACTTTTCTCACATAGTTGAGGGGTGCTACAACGCCCTCCCCAAGCAGCACCGGAACGTTCCAAAAACGTTCACAGACCGTGTCATACCGTTCTATAACGGTGTTAGGTGTATTAAGAACGTTCTACATAACGTGCTAAAGTGGTGCGTGTAACAAACGTGTATTTAGTACGTACATTTCGACGTACAACAATCGTGTTTTTTTTAAACGTTCCCAGATTGCGTTATAAAATACGTTCGACATAACGTGCTAAAGTTGTGTATGTTAGAACCGTGTTCTTAGGACGTACATTTCAACGTAAAATACTGGTACTTTTCGAAACGTTCTCAACATGTAATAGAAAATACGTTGTAAACGACGTGCTAAAGCCGTGCGTATTATAACCGTGTTCTTAAAACGCACATTTCAACGTACATAGATCTATGGGAGATCTCAACATACTCTCCACGGATGACCGTTCAGGACATCAAACTACCTCTTACATGAAATTATTACGTAACATTATTCTTAGTAAACATATAATTTCTAGATTAAATAGTTCTTGCTTATAAATGAGTAACTAAGCCTAAACAACATATAAATGTAAACAATGAATTACGCAAAATTAATAACATAAATAAGTAAGTGATAACATAATAACATTAAAACGTCAAGAATTCAAATGCATATCGATGAATATCATGTTAAAGTTCAAAATTTTTCACGATACTTAACTGTCTATTGGTAACACACACAGTTTGTGAATGGGTCTCTTGATTTCACAATCAGCAGTTTTTACTTTTATAACACGAACTCTGTAATCATTACCTGGGTAAATTTCGGTGATACGTCCCAGTTTCCATTTTAAGGAAGGTGTATTATCTTCCTTAAGGATTACTATGTCATTTACTTTAATATATGAAGCGCGATGCCATTTTATGCGAACTTGCAGTTGAGTCAAATAGTCCTTAGACCATTTCCTCCAGAAGGACTGCGACATTTGCAGAACTAGTTTCCAACGATTGCGAAATGTTAGTGTCTCGTCGCACACATTTCGTTCCGGAATAGCCTTTAATGATGTTCCTATTAAAAAATGACCTGGTATAATCACGGGAAAATCATCTGGATCACTTGAAATCGCTACTAATGGTCTTGAGTTCAGACATGCCTCGACTTCTGCTAGATAAGTAGCAAATTCTTCAAAAGTTAGAACTTGAGAACCAATTGCTCTTCTCATATGATATTTCATAGCCTTTACTGCGGTTTCCCACAGTCCACCAAAGCGCGGCGCAGAAGGCGGATTGAAATTCCACTTAATTTCTTCCTCTATTAAGTATCTAGCTACCCTTTGGTCCGAACGATATGATTTCAGTTCTCTGTTGGCACCTATAAAATTAGTGCCGCAAACACTTTACATTTTCTCCGGTCTTCCACGTCTAGCAATGAATCGTTTTAGCAATGAATCGCTCTGAAGGAATCTGTCGTCATGTCTCCAACTTGTTTTAAATGCACTGCCTTAGTACTACAACATACGAAAACACAATCGTAGATCTTCACTGTCCGAACACCGCGCTCTTTCCTCGGTTTAACTTGGAAAGGACTCGAAAACATCCACACCACATTTCGAAAAAGCTCTTGCGGGATTCACTCTGGATGCTGGAAGATCGCCCATTGCTTGATATGACAGCTCACTTCTGTGTCGACAGCATGTTACACATTTACGAATGATCTTGCGAATGACTGCTTGTGCATTAATAATCCAGTATCTCTGCTTGATTTCTGAATGGAGCATTTGTGCTACTCCGTGAAGATATTTGTAGTGATAATATCGTATTATCAGTTCTGTAATATAATGTGATTTAGGCAGAATGACTGGATATTTTACATTCTGTGCAATGCTAGCATTTCTTAGTCGTCCTCCCACTCTTAGAATACCCTCGTCGTCTAAGAATGGATTCAACATATTCAGTTTACTGCGAGGACTCACCAGTTTTCTCTTTTTCAAATGATCGATTTCTTCACTAAATTCTTGCATTTGCACAGACTTGATTACCCAAGAATATGCTACGGCTAGCTCTCCACTAGGTAGAAAATTTGATTTTGTCCTTGTTATTGATGATCGTTTCACATTGGCAATAAATCTGAGACACCAAGCTATAACTCGTAAAAGTTTTGTCCAAGAAGAATATTTATGAAGCAGTTCATCGATCACAAAATTCTTAATCACAGAAGTATGCACAACGCATCCCTTTTTCTCAGTTTCTACTACTTCCAGTGGGATATCTTCAGCGGATGCTTAGGGAAAAAATTATCTTTTCTTTTTAGCCAATGTGGACAACACCACCAACGATCACCTTCCAACAAACATTGAGCTGGCACACCCCTACTAACTAAATCAGCAGGATTTTCCCTTTCACTGCAATGATTCCAAGACCTGGGATCTGATTTTTCCTGCACTTCAACCACTCTATTACCGACAAACTGTTTCCATTGTTTCGCAGAACCCTTTATCCAAAACAAGACAATTAAGAAATCAGTCCAATACACAAATTTATCAATAAGATTCTTAAAAACCTCTCCCAGACACTTTCCTATTCTAGCTCTTATGACTGCTACCATTAGTTCCAATCGTGGCAACGTCAATTTCTTCAAAGGAGTTACTCTGCTTTTCGACATGACAAACGACACGGAAATGTCACCCTTATCATTTAAGTAACGACAATATTTAACGACTTATTTAATTATGTAATTAATAACAATATTTAATTAGTAACGACAGCACCATAAGCTATAGGAGACGCATCGCAAAATACGTGTAGTTCCATTTTTGAATTTAAGTTACCACAACACACAAATAAATTTCTCGGAACTGAAATATCCTTCAGATATTTAACCTCAGAATACCAACTCTAGTCCACTTGATTTTAAGGTCATCTGGCAATTTCTCATCCCAACCAATACCACGTTCCCAAATTTCTCATCCCAAATACCACGTTCCATAAATTTCTGTAGCAAACACTTAATCCTAACTACAAATGGAGCTGCAAAACCAATTGGATCAAAAATCATTGCTGCAACATGCAAGACATAACGCTTTGTGCTCTTTCAAACTCTATAAACTATTACATTAATCTTGCTATATCTAAAGAAAATTTATCATTTACTGGCTTCCAGTTCAAGCCTAAAACCTTCAACTGACAATCAGAAGTAGAAGTATCATCGCTAAGTCCATTCTGCATCCACAATGACCTCAGTTTCTCAGAATTAGGTTTTAATTCTTGGCAAAAGTCATACTTGCATCCTTTAAAATCGACACAGCTTCAGAAGACAGCTTAAATGCCTCTTCAACACTATTTCCCCCAAAATATAAATCATCTACATACAGTGAAGAGTTTCAACATTTCAACACATTCGGGTTTATTATTCCTGTACTGCTTTAAGTGCTTTTTTGTATTGTTGCACTTAAAATAAATGGCAATGACTTACAATCAAACGGCAAACGTGTCATACGCATTATTTTGTAGTCTTCATTTGTATTTTCTGAAACCACAAGAATTTAAAAAATTTTCCTATCCTCTTCTGAAATTCCAATCATCAAAAATGCTTTCTCTATATCAGCACAAAATGCAATTTTGAATTTCCTAAAATTTAAAATAACATCCAGTACATTGGGATTCAAATTCGGCCCAGTCTCTAAATAATCATTCAAAGAGAGATTTAGTTTCGCTTTCGAACTACAATTGAAAACCACGCGAACTTTAGTAGCATCCTTATCGGTTCTCACAATTGCTCTATGTGGCATGAAATATTCCTTCGCATCCCTAGAACATTCTTCAATTATTCCTTTACTCTGTTGATATTTAATTATGTCCTTGTATTCATTCGCCAACCACTCATTATTTTCGAAATTGTTTTTCCAGTCCTCAAGTCTTTTTTTAGCAAGACAAAAGTTCTTTTTTTAAATCCGTTGGCTTTATTCCCCATAACAAAGAAGTTTCGTATCTTCCATCTACAAACCTCAGATTATCTTCAAATTGTTTTATCAAATTCTCATCTGCAATTGATAACTTATAAGAATCTGTGATTTCTAACGCTTCTAAATTCCATAGCATCTGCATATCGGTGGCAACGCAAAAATTTGTTGATACTATGTTTCCCCAAATTTTATCCTCAGAATTATTTTGTATGCCCTGGAGTGTAAGGCCAAAAATATTTTGTATGCAGTTTAGCGTTTTGGTTATTTTTTCTACTTTCGACTCTTTAATGACGTCCCGAAAACAATCTGCTCCTATTAAAATGTGAATACCTTCATCTGAATCCATGCATGCCTCAGCTAAATTTAAACCCCTTTGCTCAAAAATATTTTGAATATTTATATTGAGAAATTCAATGGGTGCGGCAGTAATCATTTCAGTAATGCTTCTATCTCAATATATTTCTTAGGATCGTTCCTATTCCTCAGTGTTAACTTTACTACACTGTAAGTTTTATTTATGGCTTTCGTAGACCCAAAAGCATAAACTGACAATCTTTCCTTTCGAATGGTTTTAAGGCTAAGGGCATCTGCTGAAGATTTTGTTATCCAAGATCTTTCACTCCCGTTATCCATTAACACTCGACATAGTTTAAAGTTTCCTTTCGAACAAGCCAAGACAGTACAAGTTTGCAGTAAAGCACTGCCATTTGACCCCCGCTGAGAGGAGCTGCACTGAGTCACCGCGTTTAAATTCTCTTTTCCCCCTTCGACTTCAGCTGATTTATTACTTTTTTCGCATAGCAAGGAGTGGTGAGCTAAGCTGTTGCAGTTCTTGCATGGGTCGAGTTTAGTTTCACAGAATCGCGCTAAATGGAATTTTGAGAAACAGCGAAAACATCGATTATCTCTTTTTAATCTATTTTTCCTTTCCGCAACACTTTCAAATTCGCAAAATTCATGTTCTTTGCTATTACAAAATATGCAGTTTCTTTTAACATTTGTAGTATAACTAGCAGTTGATATATTCCTGTTAGTATTAACCTTTTTATTTTCAAATTTCCTAGAATTACTTTTATATTCATTACCCAAATTATGATAATTTTCAGTTTTGCTATTAAATAAATATGTTCTTTCCCTAGACCGCATCTCTTTATCTAAAAAGGTAAATAAATCCTTAAAATTCCAATCACTATCTCGATACGCTCTATTGAATTCTGAAACAAATTCCTTTGGAATTGTTTCTAACAAAATGGGAATCAATAATGTGCTGAAAGATTTTGTTTCAACTCCTAACGACTCTAAACTTCAAATTTGAGTATCAGCTTTGTCAAACAACCTTCTCAATCCAGGTAAATCATTTATACTTCTAATAATAGGAATTTTAAGTAACTCATTCAAATGTGTCTGTATAAGGTTATTCTTATTAGCAAATCTACCTTTTAATATATCCAAAGCAGCATCATAATTTTCTTCAGTTAACCCAAAACCACTTATACAATTAGATGCCGTACCCCCTAAATATGACCTTAAATAATTAAATTTATCTATCTTTGTAAGATTACTGTTATTGTGAATAACGCTTTCAAACTGGTTATAAAATTCTAACCAAGAAGCAGGATCACCGTAATATTTATCAATTTGTACCGTACTGATTATCAAACTGATTTCAAACCGTACTGATTATCAATTTAGGAAGTTTAACTGTTTTGGTTTCTCTATATGTTTAGTGTTACTCTAGTGTAAGCAGTGAGCAGTTTCGGGAATAGAAAAGGAATACGTTACCTAATATTCATATTCATCTTTCATTAATCTATCAATTACATTAGTTATCTTTTGTTTCCAGGAGGATAATTTTTTTCTGAACATTCCTCTGACATAGTAATTTCCTCTTCTACATCATCACAATTACAAAGATTTTTCATTTCATCGTTTAATCGTTTTAAATTAGTTTCCTTATCTATTATTTGGGCTCGAAATTCCTTTAAAGTATCTACCTTATTCGTAACATTTATCTCGCTAGAATCTTCCATAATAAAAGCTTCAACTTTGTTAATTAACTTAGTTAACGTAGACCTAACTGCGCTACGCTCTTTTCTCAACTTAGGTAGTTTCGATATTTTAGAGCAATTCAAATTTCAAACAAAACATCAAAACAAAGACTACCTTCACTTCCTGTAAAATTCCACAAATTCCCAAACAAAGCTTGCAACCAAATCACTAGAATTCATAGCTTCCAAGACCGACTCTGACCTCACTGGTGGCTCCATAAAAATGTGAAGTATGCTCCTTCGAAATTGCTCCACATTTTAAATAACTACATTTAATTACATAGTACAGTTACATAGCAAATACGCGTTACACAGCTCTTCACACTACATTCTCAAAACGCACGCCAACTCTCGCTAATATCGAAACCTTTCTCACATAGTTGAGGAGTGCTACAACGCCTCTCTATGGGAGATCTCACCTCTTGTAATAAATAAACTCTATTTAATTTGCTCTTCAATATCAGAATAATTATACTACTAAAAGTGAAAATGTCTATATTGTTTGAATATTTTAAATTACTGAATTCTCGATACTATGACAAGTGAATATATTTAACTCTGATTGCGTGGCTTATTTTTCAGTAAGTGCAAGTTAAAAAAACTAATTTAATCATAAAAGAGAATATTTTTTCAGAATAAAATTTTCTAGCTGTAGTATACATTTCACCTGAAGATAAAATAATAAATTTTTTCTTGGGAAAACTGCATTCATCTAACTGTAGTGTGAAAGCAATTAGAGTACGTCCCGCATTCTAATGCATAGAGCTGGACTGAAGGGAAATTCTGACCGTTTCCCTGCCTGCCCGACAAAAGAGCACTAATCACCTCATCGTTATGGCTCGATCCAATAAATTTTTCCGCCTTTCATAACCGCTTTGCCAAGAGCCCCCAGTGAAGGAACACAACTGTTTTTCGAGCTCACGCGAAAAGGGTGAAAGAATTCTGCAAGCTGCTCGGCATTGACAAATCCCAAATGGCACCTTCACATCCTCAGTCAGACGGCATGGTACGGAGGTTTAATCAAACCATCCTTGACAACCTCTCGTTGGTGGTTTCCAGAAACCAACAGGACTGGGACAAGAAGTTACCTCTGTTTTATTGCCGCTGTGCTGCCAACAAGACTACCGGCTATTCCAGATCTCAGATGCTTCTCCGTTATGACTTTTGCCTGTCTTGTGATCTTCTGTTTGGTCGCCCTCCTGATGCGCCTTTATCACCTGAGAAGTACATCCAAGATCTCCAACACGAGAGCTACAGGAAATCATTCAATGGAGAGACTACATTCACCTTGGGATGGTCCTTAAACAGTCCTAAACAGGCTGAAAGACGTCGTACTTCGTATCCGTATGTCATCAAATCTTAAGCCTAAAGTCGTTCGTTGCGACAGGCTAGCTCCTTATTATGGCCATAGTACGCAGTGTATATATTGTAAATAGTATAAGACCGTGGTCCTTTTTGTTTTTAAATTTGTAAGTTTGTGCACTCATTTGTTGATTTAGGATTTGGTTTGTTTTATGTTACTTATTGCAATTATTGTTTATGTTGTTTGTCATTGTATTGTAATGTTTATTATTGTAGTGATGCCTTAGTTGTAAGTTTGGCTTCCTCTCCAGCGGTTGTTTTGCCCGGGACGTGCAGTCCTTGGGAAGGAG